AAATAATCAAATATAAATATTGAAAATTAAAAAGAAAAGGAACAAAAATTTTTTGAAAAAAGTTACTAGCTGTTCAACTACTGGCTTACTGTTTATCAAATTATGTAAAGTAAATTTAAAAATAGAATACTAGAGTAACAGAAAAAATGTTGAGCAGAACACAGGGTCACTGACCTGTATGTTAAGAAGTTTTTGTGCCACACGGAACCCAGAGCAAAACGTTTTTTATGCCTTCGATGCCGATGTGGTTGCTGGTCTCCAAGTCCACACCTACAGCAACATTTACAGCGCCAACTTTAAATTTGTTATAAATTAATAAAAATGACGACTAACTTAGACATTCAGTTGATCAGCTATTTTCAGCAGAGGGATCTAAAAGGTTGCTAAAAGTTAAAACAAAATTTTCTTACTTGGTTTTGATATTTCTGTGTGTCAAGTAAGAAATGTCCAAAAAAGTAAATAAATAAATACATGAATAAAAAAATATTCAAACATATATAATCTAAATCAAAAGTTGTTTTACCTTTTACGTGCCATCAGTTTTATTGTTTCTGAATCCAACTGTCCAGTCGCAGGTATTCTACCATATCGCTGTAACCTTTTCAGTGCCTCTTCAATCACTGTACTGCTAAGCATAGCTGATGCTCCAGTTTGTTTTGGTATATAATTGAACTGTTCTAGATATTGAAGCTAAAAAGAGAAAAACAATTAGATGTTTATGTTTAAATATAATACATAAAAAATTATAGACTTTCGTCAAGCCTGTTAAAGTCTATTTTTAAAAGATTCATTTGAATTTAACCTACTAAAACTTCCGGCAAGTAAATTCAACTAAGATCAATTGTTGAATTTTAGTCCTACTTTCTGCTTTTGCTCACTTATTCCCAAAACATTAAATTCTCAAGAAACAAAAAAAAGGTACAAATAACGGCTAAAATAATGCATAAAATTTGAAGTGAACCGTGTCTGCTGTATATCGAGCAATTCCACTGTGAGTAAGCAGTAGCCCAAAAACCAAGCACCTAAGTGGCAGCATTTGGCTTTGGTTCCCACTTCAGATGTTCATTACCAAACTAAAAAACAGCACTTTCTACGCATTTTTCTCCCCGTTATACATTCAATATTTGCAAATTTTTTCAACATTCAAAACTAAAAAAACACATATTTGAGTATTAATAACGATTTCGTCAGCTACAGTTATAAGAAGTTTAGGCAAACGTTTAGGTTGCGCACGTCGACCAGTTGATATATTAATATATATTTCATACATAATTACTAAATTTTTCAAATATAACTTAGTCACTGCTTAGAATTGATACGTTTTTTTTTCTTCGTTTTTTTGTTTTATAAAACTTCTTGTCAACAAACTATTGTTGCAACAGTTTCAGGACAACCTTTTTCAAGACAAACGTACAATCAGTGCTCAAAAATTTGGTGAAACCTCACATTACTACTAACGTAAGAGGGGATATCAATAACTAATGAATATACATAAACATAACGAATACACACACGGTTTTACTCTGGCAAACTTAAGCATTGAATAGCAGTAAAAACTGCTTAACTGTTGCATAGTTACATGAAAAAAGGAGAAAAAATCGCAAATACATAGAGAAACGTAAAGATAATATGTATATAAATGCACTATTGTTGTAATTAATGTCTTCAAAATTGAATAAGCGAATAATAAAATTGTTGAACGCTGTAAGTTAAAAGAGGAAAAATAAGACGAAACATAACATTAAATTAAAAATCGTTATTTACTGTTTAAGTTGTGCATTATCCAATTTCTTTTTTCCTGCTTTTCCAGATGTGAATAAAATTTAACTAAAGTAATATACAACGACGATGACAATAACAACAACGATCATCAAATCAAATATTTACAACTAAAATAGCATCCTATAAATTGTGTAAAC